TAGTGTAGACTCTGTACGTGAATCTACTAAGCATGTCAAATTGATATTGTTAATGATGTGTTATGCAATTACTCTAGCAGTTTAACCGCTGCAGTGAGCCACTGGCTCGACAATGAACATGAATTACGAGCGTAATAGAACCAAAGTTCGGAGGCGGTCGGCCGTAAGCCTTGAACGCTCCCGACGAGACAAGCACCCCGCTAGACTGAAGACTGATTCTGAGGACACGCTAGTGCAGGGGAAGCTACCTAGAAGCTTAGCGACAGTGCTGACAGGCGACAAGTCATCACAGCGTATCCAGAAACGCTCGTAGCGGGATGATTTGGCATCCCTCTCAGCGTGCTTGGTCTTCTTCTTAGGCGGGGAGCTACTGTCCGATGGGACAGCGAAACTGCGAGCTCTCATCTCGTATTCACAGAAGATAGTCATCATCTCATCCTCGTAACGCTCCTCGGCACTCATTCGATGGTGCTGTTGATCTGCCGGCTGGTCGAAAAAGTCATTGATGAGACTGTCGAACGAGTCCACTGGCTTCTGCTGCGAGTCCATCTCACTAGTCTTCTTCTCCGTATCTTCACATTTATCCAAATTGAGAGCCTCTAAGCATTTAAGTGTTGCTTTTCGCCCCTCCACGTCACTTACATGATACGGGTCATTAGCGGGCTGGCGAGATCGAGTCGTAGGGTTGAGATAGTACGCAGCCTTCACAAAGTCGCTTTCAGTCAAGTAGGCGAAGTAGTGGTTTAGGCGGTCCAGAAGCACATCCTCGAGGTCTCTTACCGTGCGAACCTCTGGTACATCGCGTTCAAGTTTTCGCCTAATGGCGCCGATAGCGATGAGAAGGTTAGGTAAGGTAGGATACTTCGACCCGCTCAACCAGTCAGTACATAATTTAAATGGCATGAGGGCATCGTACACGGCTTGGAGGACGCGATAATCAGTGTGACTGAGCCGACAGTTCTCGACTACCTTATAGACTGGTGAGTTCGGAGGCAATGTCGATTCCACCGCACGCTGAAACTCTTCGTATTGGAGCTTGTAATCAAGGATCTGCTTGATCATAGCGAAAGTGCTAT